ACAGGTAAAGTTGCCTGGGTAAGTATAACTTCCTTCTAGTCAGCTAAACAAGGTTTTAAGTTTAAAGGCTTCAGACTCTCGTCCATTCAACGGTCTCTTCTAATTAGCCAAATGGATCAGTGTTCCATTTCAAAGACATGCTGTTTGGTGCCATCGAGTCAGTTCCCACTTGTGGCGACCCTATACCCAACAGAACAACATGCGGCCTGGTCCCTACACCGTCCCCACAGTTATTCTTACGCTTGAACCCATTGTGCAGCCACCGTTTCAATCATCATGTTGAGGGATGTCCCTGCCTTTACTTTCCCAAGCATGCTTTCCTTCTCCATTGACTGGCCTCTCCTGACAACACAGCCAAAGTTCCTAAGAGGAAGTCTCACCATCCTGCCTTAAGGAGCTTTCTGGCTGTACGTCTACGACGTGTGTAGTTGTTCTTTTGGTACTGCAAGGTTCTTTCAATATTTTTGGCCAGGTACAATTCAAATGCATTGGTTCTCTGTCAAGCTTCCTTATTCAATGTCCAACTTTTGCATGCATGAGGCCACTGAGAATGCCATGGCTCCGGTCAAGCTCATCTTATTCCTCAAAGTAACCTCCTTGTTTTCAACAGATTCCCCCAATGCAATGCCTCATTTGATCTCTTGACTGCTGCTGCCATGGGCAATATGAATGGATCTAAACAAGATGAAATTCCTGACAACTTCAGTTTCGTCTCCATTTATCATGATGCTGCCTAATTGTTCAGTTGTGAGGATTTTGGTCTTCTTTACACTGAGTTGTAATCTGTACTTGTGACTGTTACATAATTTCATGTCAACTTGAAGACATATAAACGTATAGTGGTAGAGTTTAACCTGTCAATCAGGTCACAGCTTGATGATGACTCCTTATGGGAGTGGCTTTCTCATAAGAAGGGTCCTGGCACCCTCCCCGTCTCTCTCCACCTTTACCTTCTTGTTGGAGGACCCTGGTTGGTGCCAGTGCAGCGAAGATGCATCCACCGCCATTGCATCCACAAGATTTTGCACGCACTGGCCTGTAATGTTTCTGCATCATTGTATGTGGCTGTGTGAGTCTGAAGAAGGAATTATGGGCTAGTATCATACTTATGGACTTGAGTTATGGACTTATGGACCCGGCTTCTCCTCTGAGTCGTTTCAAAATCCAGTGAAATCAAGCAAAATTATATATCTTAAACTAGGTGGCAGAAACAGATTTTTACAATGTCACAGAAAGAGATTACCAGGTTTTTACAATGATCCCAGGGTAAAATTGATAATCTAAAGCAGGTTTCGTAATGAAGGTTCGCAATTAGGAAATTATCTACACCTACAGTTCTCCAGGGGCCATTATACCACCATCTCCTGAAGATTCATGCCCCTTGTTAATCTAAATTGCTTCCATGTCTGGCTTTACCAGACCACCACTCCTGAGGCCTCTGAATTGGGGGCGGGTGGGAGTAGGGGCGCGCACAATGACTTCTTTACATAAAACTCTTTCTTACACATAATGAGCGTCCCTGGATTTGTTTCTCTAGTCAAACCAGCTAGCACAATACTGAAGGCTGCAATCCTGAATCTTCATCAGCACGTGCTTCCAGCTGTCCTCACTTTCAGCAAGCAAGTTTGTTTCTTCTGCCTCGAAGAAGCCTCTTGTTTCTTCTGTATCAAAGGTTGTTAATCAGCCTTCCTCCAATCATGATGTCACATTCTTCTTTATATAACCCAGCTTATATGACTATTTGTTTAGCATACACACTGAGTAAGTATAGTAAAGAGGATACAGCCCTGTCACACACCATTCGTGGATTTAGGCCATGCGGTATTTCTCTTGTTCTGTTCACATAACTGCCTCATGATCCATGTACAGGATTCACATGAGAACAACGCAGTGTTCTGGAATTTATATTCTTCTCAAGTCTATCCACAGTTTGTTATGAGTCACACAGTCAAATGCCTTTACGTGGTCAATAAAGCACAAGTAAACATCTTTCTGGTATTCTCTACTTTGAGAAGCTATTTCTTATTCCACATCCTCTTCTGAATCTGGCCTGAACCTCTGGCTGCTCCCTGTCAATGTCCTGCTGCAACTGTGGCTGAATGGTCTTTTGAAATGTTTCACCAAAAGGACGAAGCACTGGAAGCCTCACTCGTCTATGTCAGGAATTTTGAAGAGAGCCACTTGGCCAACTGACTGAAAGAGACTCATATTAGCACTCGTTCCAAAGAAACTCCCAATAGAATAAAGACTTCAACTAGAATTGTCCTAATCTACATTCAACTGCAAGAACTGATCCCCACATTAAAATGGTTATCGTTTAAATTGTGTGCTTTAGAAATGCTACCTGAGGGAAGTTGTTTAATTAGATAATTCATGCTTTGCTAACAACCATTAAAATGTTACCTCCTGTTTACACTTCGCTCTTTGATATAAAACTATCTTTCCTTGTTTGCTTCACCAAATGAAAGCTGACTGCTTCTCTTCCAAAGCTGGACACCTGTGCATCTTTTCTTTGGCTGCTGTGTTCTTCCTTACACAACCTATAATTCTCCCTCAAAAAATGTCGGATTCTGTTTTTCACCAGAGCCTTAGTCTACTGTGTCCACTCACACACCCAACTATAGAAAGGTTCTTTTCAATAGTAAACAGAACTGTTTACAGTCAAAAGGAGGAAATTTCTAAGATCATTTTCAGGATGTCAAAATTCACAATTTAAAAAACAGCATTAAATATTTTAAAAATCAATCTTTAATAAGAGGATCATCTATGGAAAAGTAAAGTAATTAGTAATTGAGATGGTAAAAATATCCATCTTCTATGGATAAAATTTTCCCATATAAAAATTTAGAAATAGCTTTTAGATAATAAAAATCATATTTAAAACAAAGTTTTACTGTTAAAAAAAGAATCAGACTTTATCTAGAATATTGAGTAACCATAATACTATAAACGCAAACCCCAAATACTGTATGCATCTTTTTAAATCTAAATATGAATAAGTAGCCTCATCTTGAACAAATTCATTTTCAAATAAAAAGTACAATGCCACATAGCCACACAAGATGTGAGCTATGAACTTGAAAGTCTCCTGATATTAAAAAGGAGGATGTGAGATTTATTTCTTTGGATTCATTTAAAATAAAATGATAATGGAAATTTAAAAGACAGGGATTCTCTATTTACAAATAGTAATAAAATATTAAAATACTCTGATATTTATGGCAGTTAATGAGGACCTGATGCGAGGGGCTTAAGTGGAGAGCAAATGTTTTGAGAAGGATGAGGGCAATGAATGTACAGATGTGCTTTACACAATGGATGTATGTATGGATTGTGATAAGAGTTATATGAGCCCCCAATAAAATGATTTTTAAAAAAGAAAGAAAGAAAAGATGGAAGGAGCTACAGATATCACTCTCATTTTTCTATCATAACCAAAGAAGCACTCACAAACAAGTTCTACCTTACAGCGTTTTAATAATTAAAGTATTTCATACGAAGATATGCTAAATACTCAAATTTCCACTCTTATCTTCCTTTAACCCCCAAACTCTAGTTTAAAATCCATTCCCTTTTTAGACTAGTTTATTTCAGCTATGTAAGAGTTATAGCCTAAGTATCAATATCGCTTACTTCCTACAAGAATCTCAGAAACATGCCATGTCATCCCTTGTCTAAATTTTGTTTTGTTTCACATATAAGTAATCTGACAATTCTTTTCCATTGGAGCCACTTTCTTATAAATCCTTCTTTGAGTGTTTGAATTAGTCACTGTGCAAAAGAGAGGCATTGTAGAACAGGTAGATATTAAATTCATTTAGCCTACAAAAATAGCATTTTAATGGATTACTGAAACAGAAATGTAGTCAGTCTTATATATTGATCTGGGCAGTCTTCAATTTCATTATAACTTACATTTTACTTTCTACTTATATAACCTAAAAAGGATATACCAGGTTGGCAGGTGCAACCTACCCTGTGGCTTTACATGAAGAACACCTGATAAAGAAGGTGGCCAAGAAAGCCCTATGGGACAGCTCTGCTCTGGGCCACTATGAGCCACAATGATCTTGACAGCACCTGACAACAGTGTCCGATAATGAAAGGGGAACCACACAATTTTAACCTATCCATCTATAAGGGTCATTTGGAGTGTTCTACACTTTCTTTAATTTTTAGTTACTATTCTTTCACTTAGAAACCAGTAAGTAAATTTTCATTTATTATACATTCATGTTACCAACCTAGGCTACTACATGTGGGCATTCTTAAATGAAGTTTACTTTTTACAAGAATGGCTTCAAAAAAGAATATCTCTAAATCTTTGAAACATATAAAATTATAACAGATTTAGATTTATCACACATAAGAAAATATTTCATTATAAACTATTATGAGAAAAGTACTTTCTTAAATGATTCTTCCAATAGAAGAAGCTCACATTTTTTACACTTCCAATTCAGACTACACAATAACCACAATCTTGGTCCTTCCTCTAAAAAAATTAAGAGAGAGAGAGAGAGGGAAGGAAGGAAAAGAAGAAAGAAGGGAGGGAGGGAAAGAGGGAGGGAAGGAAAGAGGGAGGGAGGAAACAGAAAGGAAGGGAGGAAGGTAGTGCCAAGCCTGGACCCCGTATTCCTCACATGCCCTGTTAGTGTGCACAAAGCTGTGAGGGCGAATTCATGTCCACACATCAAAATATTGGTGCAACCCTTTAATAGTTGCAGTAATTAAAAATGTGACTAGTACCATAATTAAAATTTAAGAAAGAATACAGAAAAGCGCATGTAGACAGCACAAAAAAGGGAGCAACAACCAGAGCACCTATTGTCTTGAGCTAAAATAAGAATATAATTCAAACAGGACTTTTCGAGGAAACATGCAATATGGTATCAAGTCTTTATTTAAAATGCTATGTTTTGACAAAAGGCTTTTCAAATAATAAGTATTTTGCCTTATTCCCAGATTTTGAGAACACACTGGCAGGTAAGAATTCATACCTGCACCAGGAATAATTGCCAGCTTTGTTTCCACAAGGCCCATTTTTGCAGAAGCAGCTAAAAGAAGAAAAAAAAATTAATTAGCATCTATACCATCATATTCAAATATAGTGACTTGAACAGTTAGTAAAATATATTTGAAATCTTATTTACAGATTATACTTATGTCATTTTTTTAAGATCAACTGACAAGTCATATTTGAAGATTTAGCTTCCATTAATTACCAAGAGTCAGGAGAAAGGTAAACAAGATTTCACCTGACTGAACAGCCCCCAAATCAAACATCTGAACCTATCATGTCATATCAGGGCTCAAGTTACTCTCTGACCAACGGTTTTAGCACTGGTCAGGGTTTGGACAGCTGAACAGGGCGCCTCTCTTCATGTTTGTTTTCATGGTTGCCTAAATACATCTTAATTGTTTATTTGCGTGTCCAAACACATGTGAACTACTTCCTACCACCTAAATCCTAAGAATCTGCATTCTTTCAGAAATGGATACTGCACTTTACATTTTCTATTTAAAATCCATTCAGAGAAAATAGAAACCAAAAATTACATATAAAGGGGAGTGGAGTATTTATGGCTTGCAACTTCAAAGTTCCAGAGCAGTCATCATAAAATTATTAAAAATACGTAGTTATGTTGACTTGGCTTTACACAGGCAGCTGCGTCAGAAATGAGAACAGTGACAAATACTTGCTGCCTGTTTCACTTAGCTCTTGGTCCCCAAACCTGTCTTTACATCAGATCTGTTGAAAACAATGAGGAACTAGACAGAGTGGTGCCCACATAGATGAGATTGACAACTATACCAACAGGGGCTCCATAGCAGAAGTGAGGGGGGCTGTCGGTCTGAATCGACTGAGTGGCAGTGAGTGTGGCTCAGCCACTTATCCCTCTCTGGGAGGTAAGACAAAGTTCTTATCTCCTGAGGCTGTTAAGAAAATTAAATGATTTAATACACATAAGATACACGGATAACACTAATTGTTTTCATTATTGTCACAGTCACCACATATATGCCTCAAAAATCATACCAAAAAACCCCCTGAACCTAAGAAAGAGCCATTCTTACTATAAACCAAAACCAAACTTACCCCAATCCAGTCAATGCTGACACATTCCTGTCACTGTCCCTGTGAGTTTTCCAGATTGTGACTCTTTATGGGAGTAGAAAGCCCATCTTTCTCCCTAGGAGCAACTGGTGGTCTCAAACTGCTGACCTTGCAGTTAGCAGCCCAACTGCAAAACCACTACACTACCAGGGCTCCTACAGGGAGTACTTAAGTGATTGTCCTAACCACATGACATAAATTAATTCATTAAATCTTCTCAGTACCAGCTGTCACTGATCATATTTTAGAGTTGTTAAAACTGACCTAAAAAGGGCAAGACCAAGATTCAAATAGCTGTCTCTCTTTCTAAGACTATTCTTTTCCTACTGCTAAGATTGAACTAAAAATTATATGTTTGCTCACACTTGGAATTTTAAACACAAGTATGCATTAAACCCAATGGTGACTTTTTCCATAATGATTACTCAACAATAACCAAAAATATAAGTCCACTGCCATGGAGTTGATTCTGACTCATAGCAACCTTATATGGGGCTTCCCAAGTTATAAAATCAGTGTTTCCCCAAATAGGTGATACTGTGCCTGGGAGGGGCTGGAATGATCCAAAACTAAAACCAAACTCAATGCCACTGAGTTGAGTTTAACTCTTAGCTGTCCTATCGGGCAGGGTAGAACTAACTCCCTCTGTGGGTTTCCAAGACTGTAACTCTTTACAGGAATAGAAAGCCTCTTCTCCCACGGAGCAGAGAATGATCCAAGGGGCTGCGAAAGAATATACCTATATATTTTTCCTGGGTTATGAGCTATATTACAAAATTTGTAATTGCCAGAGGGCATTGAGTAATTTTTTCCCCCTAAGACGGGGGTGGTAGCTTGAAAACATGCTGTAAATCATTCTCCTACAAAGTGGCGGATGGGTGTGAACCACCAAATTTGAAGTTAGAGTAAAAGACAGAACATAATCCTTAGAATTATCTAGAAGCAACACAAAACTTATCTTTTTAGAAAATAATTTTCTATAGGATTCTCACCTGCCACTCTTATATCGCATGCCAAAGCCAGTTCAAGGCCACCACCTAATGCAAGTCCATCGATGGCTGCAATAGTGGGCACTGGAAGGTTAGCTGAAACAGAAAGAAAATGTTTATGCTTCGTACCTTGTCTTTCCTTTCAGGCTTATATATGAAAGGGCTTCAAAAAGTTCTTGGAAAAATTCTATTTTAATTCAATTTTTCCACAATGTTTAAGCTGCTTTACAGAATTTTAACAAAATATGGACTTCCTCCGTCATTATATTTCTGTATCATTATTCAATAATTGTACAAAGGAAAGTCAAAAAGTATTGCTGTGGGTGTCCCAGATCATACATGCACTGGTTTATTCCAAATGCAGTGTGTACAAACACATCGCTGAGATCAATAGAGGACTCCAGGCAAGTTCCCACAGTAGTACATTTGCCTTAGTCTCATTAGGACACTTTCAAAAATAATAATACATACATACAAAACACCTGCTTGGCCAACTAAACTCAAGGCAGAAAGGTCAGCTGAGAGGTTCTGCTAGATTTTCATAAAGGACACTGGACAATCATGTGGACCAATTGAAAAGAAGTTTTTGAAAACCAGGAAAGTGGACTGATGAGGAAAATGTTGGGAAAGTCGCACTGAGGATTTTTTCCCAAGACAATCTACACATGCACTATTCAAAGGTAGCACAGGCTGTCTTAGGAGAATTCTATGGGGAAGCCTCCCTCGACTTACTCAACAGCCTTGATCTTGCCCCTTCTTCTTCCCAAGATTATTTCAACAGAATAGGACTTGGGTACTTCAAGGATGCTAATAGTAACATTTAACCTGCTGTACACTGAAGAGCTCAGACTCTGTGGGAAAGGATTAGCGGCACGGAAACACCACCTTCCCAAGTCGACCGACTGAGATGGATGAGCTGTCAAGGAACAAAAAGCTCCATATTTTGACGCTTTTGTTTAATAAGGGAGTCTATGTTTTTGTAGAACATAAAAGATTCCCTCACATAAGCATGCAGTAACATCTTTGAGCTTTCCCTTTGGAATTATTTTCAAAAATACTTTTTTTTTAATTAACAAGACCCTCTCCTCAGGCCAGCAGAACATAGGGGTGCAGGACAGGCAACCTACGCTCACCTATGTGGGGAAGCAACTCCATCCATCCAGCATGGATGCTCACCTGTGATCTTCTGAGCCAGCAGAGCACACTAACCCATATCAGGTACTCTAATCCCTGCCAATGCCTTGCACAGTAGAACTGCCTAGGTGTCCTGAGCCATGCCTGGCCTCCCCACACACATATACAGTTTTCTCTCCTTGCCCCCACCTTTCTCTTCTTTCCCATCTGTTGTTTGTTGTTTTTTCCTACTCATTTCCATTTTTGTCTTCTACTTCTTTTCTTTTTTCCCCCCTTACCTTTTTTCCTTACTATTCTTTTTTCATCCCCTCTAGTTTTTGTTTCTTCTTCCTTCTTTAAAATGTTATACATTATCCTTTAGCTTGTTGCTTAGTCCCCCTTGTTTATTTTCTTTAAAACAATTTTTTTCATGTTTTATTGTTGCTTTTGTATTTATTTGTCCAGCTGGCAGGAGACAGCAACTGTATCTATACGGCCCAGCCACACCTGCACAACCTACATCTCCCACCTCACTGGGTGAAAGAAACCCCCCAGTCCTAGACCTATAACTAGACTAGACCTAGACTAGACCAGGCCATACCTATATATCAATCACATATAGTGGGCAATGCCTACCCAATCTCAAAAGGCTCAAAACCTCAAAAGGCTCTACAAAAACAACTAACAAAGAAGTGTGCTCAGTCCTATCCTATATCACAAGTACCAGGAGACAATGGTAAAAACCTAAGTCCTGGCAAGCACACTTACCCAGCACACACATATATAGCAAAAACAAAACAGAAGACCTAAATAATAAAATAAGATTTTAAATAACTGGGTGAAAACACACCAACATACAATCATCAATTAAATACTCTCACTGCCATCGAGTCAATACTGCCTCAGAGCAACTCCCCTTGTGGGTTCCTGAGACTGGAACCGTTTATGGGAGTAGAAAACCCAGGGTCTCTCTACCTTGGGGCTGCTGGTGGTTTCAAACTGCTGACCATAGCCCAACGCATAACCACTACACCACCAATTAAATACAAACACAAAATTACAATGTCTCAGAGACAACAAACCACGTCTGTTCAAATGAGCAAACAAGACAGAATGGTTCAACTAAGTAATGAAGAGAGACAGAAACTTTTCCGATGGTAAAAATAGCATGAGAAATTCATGAGGCATTCACTCAGGAGTTCTGATGGCACAATGATTGCCCAGTGGGGGGCTAACCACAGGGTTTGCAGATCAAAACCACCGGCCCATTCCACAGGAGAAAGATGAAGCTTTCTACTCCTGAGAAAAGAAGAATTACGCTCTAGGGCACCCACAGGGACAGTTCTAAGCTGTCCTACAGGGTTGCTATGAGTAGAAATCAATTGGATGGCAGTGAGCTTGGAGTTTTGATAAGGAATTCAAAATAAATGATACTCAGATCGCTTCAACGTGGTGGGAGAAAGACTGAGGAACCTGAAGACAAATCAAGGATGATTTAAGATAGAAGAGGGGGTTTTAAAGATGGGAAGAAATTAATACATTAGAGGGTAAGCTAAAAAATAAATAAATCCACCAAATTAAAAAAGAGGAAAATCACAAAGATTCAGTAAACCCAACAACAATATGAAAAAAATAATGAGAAAAATCAATAAATAAAATGAACTTAGCAAACAATATTAGGGGGATCAAAATAACAAGTCAGCAGCCCCACACCTAAGAACATATAAAATAAATTCACACCTAACAATAATTACACTGAATATAAATGGATAAGATGCATTAGCTGATACAAGAGAGTAGCATAATGGATAAGAAAACAAACGTTGTTAATGTGCTGTCTGCCCAATATATATATACACCTTAGATATAAAAACAAAACTGAAATAAAATTCAAAGGATGAGGAAAAAGATATCAAGCAAGTGGTAATAAAAAAATAACAATAGCAGAAAAATATTAATTTCTGATAAAATAGACTTTAAGGCAAAAGCCTATGTAACAAGGAAGGGAAAACATTATATTAAAGGGTCAATTACACAAGAGGACAGAGTCATAATAAGATCTATGCACCCAGTGAATGAGCCTCAACTTCAAATTCAGTAAACACATTCTAAGAGAACTGAAAAAGAGAACTTGTCCTAAGAGTACACTTTAATACACCCTTTTTGGTGAAAATGAAGGACATGACAACCAGAAAGAAGCTCGCCAAAGACACGGAAGAACTAAGTAACAAAGTCAGCAACTTGACCTCATAGACATGTTTGGCCCCAAAACAGGACAATATACATCTCCCACCCTAGCACACATGAACATTCTTCAGACTAGAGCATAGAACACAAACCTTAATAAATCTTAGAACTTAGAAATATTACGACAGGCTGCTAAACCACAAGGTCAGCAGTTTGAACCCAGCAGCATTTCCTCAGGAGAAAGATGAGGCTTTCCCATAAAGAAATATTACAAAGAAAAAAAATTTAATTTAATTTAAAAATAATAATAAAAAAATAAATATTACAAAGCATACTCTCAGATCACAATGCTATAAAATTAAAAGTCAACAAATGCAAATCAAGGAAAACAAATAATAAACATGAGCCTTAAATCCTGCTATAAATCTACTGGGTAACATAAAAAAAGATTTTTTTTAAACTTAATTTCTTAAAATCAAGGATTAAGAAAACATAACATATTAAATCACCTAGACACAGCAGGAGCAACACTAACAATTCAATTTACAGCAATAAGTACACACACAGACAAGAACAAAGAGTCACACCTTAACTGGGGAAAAAGCAGCAATATAAGTCTACAGAGACTAGGGGGAAAAGAAAAGTAGAGCAGAAATAAATGGAACCGAAAACATAAAGAAGAATTAACAAAACCGTAGGAAGGTTCTTTGAATGGATTAATAAAATTGAAATATCACTGAAATCTAAAATAAAGATACAAATAACGTGAATAAGAAATGAAATGGATGACCATCACATGAGAAAAAACCGGAAATTTTAAATAGCAAATTACTATGTAGAACTATATATTACAACAAATTTCAAAACCTGTAAGACACATTTCTAGATGTATATTCTCACTGCTATGGAGTCAGTGCGGGCTCGCGGCTACCCACACCCACCAATCATGGGGGTACAAGGCGTAAAGTTTAGGAGTAGAAAGCCCTACATTAACACTGACTGAGATACAAAATGTGAAGAAATCTTTAACAAGAGAATTGAAGACATTATTAAAAATCTCAACCCCTTATCTTGCCTCCCCCACAAAAATGTAGCCCAAATAGTTTCAAATATTTAGAAAAGAGCCCGTACTAGAACTGCTGCAGAATATAAGAAACAATAGGATTCTCTTGCATTCAGTGTATAAAATGAGTACAACCCTGATACTAAATCCAGGCAGAAAGGTTTAGCAAAGAAGGAATGGCAAAGGAAAACCTATGGAAGAAGTGGAATAAATGATGTTGTACAGTGTGAGGGCTGTAATCAGTACCTGAAACAAATTCTCTATGGATTGTTGAATGAAAAACTGCCTTGCTCTATGAAATTTCATCCAATTCACGATGAACCATTTTTTGTTTTTCTGTTTCCAGTAGGTATGCAGGTGCCAGGATGACAATGGGTGAAGTGTGACAGTTAGGTTATAGGTCAGCCTGAGAGAGAGCCAGGATTCACCATGATGTGATGTGACCTAAGAGTGTGGTCAAGTTCCAGGATGGGATCTTCTTTGAAGCAGCTGGAGAAAGTAAGGTCACAGGCTTGAAACAAGTGAGGGAGGTTTCGTTTGGGGTGTGCCCTACTCTGACTCTGTGGGGAAGCTAGCTCACTTCGTCTGCTGGATCTGAATCCTGTATCTGAACATTATCCTCCTGTCACATCACCTGCTGATCCCAGGAGCCATCCACAGACTGTTGACCTTGGATTCCTTAAGCCAACCTTGAATTCATTTGTCTGAACGTTTACCTGTCTGAGGGCTTCCT